GTCACTAGCTGACCGTGTGACAAAACATGAATTATTCGCTGTAATACTGTTAATGCTGGTTCAGCCCGGTCTGTCCACAGTCGCCCGATGAATGAATGGAAACTACAAACTTAGACAGATATAAAAGAAGGTTTAATATATAAAACAGAATACATGTAAAAGACAGGCAGAGTGGAGCCTGGGTCTAACTGCACGGACGAGAGGCACAAAGACCTCGCTTCTAGTGCAGCCTGCCAGTCTATACCAGAGGTGACAAGAAATGAAGATTTGAAACACATGTGACAATATGACCTACGAACTCTAGGTTTGAAAACAATCTTCTCTTCCAACAGAAGTGTCTTCTTTCAAAAGATCTACTCAACACAGATGTTTCTGGCTTTTTGCTTGTTTATTCCACCCTCGATGCATGAGTTGGTCAACTAGACCCCACTAATCTACACACATTTATTAATATGATAATACACATAACATTTATTGACAAATACACAACAGTACAAGGCGGAGCACACGTATTCCCTTTAAAATGTGACTACCAAAGTAATATCATGCGCCTCCTGTACGTTCCCATCACTCTGTGGGGTTAGAGAAAAAAGGCCCACAATGAGTGTGAAGTACTTTGGGACTCTGCCTGTGAAAGGGGCAATATAAATAAAGATTACACACATACTTATTTTCGAGAGCAAACTTCTTGCCAGAATCAGAGCTGTCACCCATAATGTGTGACTTGTCAGCTGTTACTTCCTGAGTAACAAAGCACGTCAACAGGTGTTGCCAGATAAGCGGCCTGTCCTGCCAGCTTTTCTCTTCATCCTAATGTGTTTACGGGTGGAAAACAATTTAAAGATATACAATTGACAGAGGTGATGAGTATGTCAATGATTGGCCTGATATCCCACTGTCAATCATTTGCGGTACAAAATGGGGAAAAAAATCCTCACTTGCAGTAATGGCAGTCAGAAGATGAGGTGCTCTTTGGTGAGGAAATTGTCAATGTATAATATTTCTAAAACCAAGGCACTCTTACCGGCTTTTTGGTAAAAATAATAAGGAAAAAATGTTTGTTGAATATATTGCCTTTTTCACTGGTGTCATACATTATATGCATATTACATTGGGGTACAGTAGTTGGTAACCCCAAATAAATCCAAGTAAGGTTTTTGATAGCACAGTCTACAAACAAAGTCAGAAAATTTGTCCTGCATTTTCCAAGAATCAAAGTGAAAGGCAACTCTAAACAGTTTTACAGAATCACACAAAAGAAGTAATAAAGTCCTATTCAGAGTCTGTGGCAGCACGGATAAATCATTAAAAAGTTAGAAGCTAATAACAGTGAGACAGCAGGCGGTTTGAGACAGTGAAAGAACGCGATGGGGATCAGAGCTGAAGGCCCTGTGCGGCGGACTCCACTTCATTTCGATTGGCTCAGAGTGTGATAAACAATCTGAATAATGGTCCACAAGTGGCCTAATCGGGTTAGGACAGAGAGGCTGCGGGCGGAGGGCAGGGCCGCTGAAGTGGAGCCCTAATTTCATCAAAATGGCGTCTGCAGTGTGGAGAAGCAGCCCCAGGCTGAAACCAAGCTCCTCTCCTTCATCTTCGGCCTGTTGGATATTGCTCAGGCTAACGGTTAAACTGAATTAGTTTGCGGCCCAGTTATACTGCAGAACAAAAAAATAAAAAAGGAAATGTTTACATGAAATGAAGAGTATGTAGAAATGTAAGACTTCTACAGTTCTGCTCCTGGTTGGACTTTGGTTTGGTTCTGCTCTTATTTGTGTTGATAATCCAAAGGGTGGACTCTTCCAATATGGGGGATAGGGGGGTGCTCTATTTTAAATCTAGATTCCAATAACCCACAACAATATGAAACAAGTTTGGGCAATATATATGTGTCCTGTTCAGGAGGGCACATGTCCCGATAATGCCGGTGGCCCAGTGGCGGGTGCGCTCTGCAGAACCTCCCTGGTGAAAATCCACATCCCACCGCTCCTCTGCAGTCCGCCTCTAAAACCACACACACCTTAACCATTAGCCAGATAGGCAAGGAGAACAGGCACAAATACCACAAGTTTAGAACAGAGATGTCTTCATTTAAAACTAAAACTACAGTGTGAGTGTACAAACAGAGCCTCTGCATCAGGAGGAGAATAAAGGAGAACTTTTCTTCTCCTCACATCTGTTAGCAGGTTTTCTCTTCACTAAGAGGGGACACTGCTGCATGTGTTAGGGTCAGAGTTAGGGTTAGGGTTAGGGCAGACATGTCGGTGGAGTAAACAGAATGCTGAGCCTTGGTTATTAAATCCACAGTGCATTAAATCAAAACATCACCGATTTAAACTGATTTTTCTTTGTAAATTCAATTAAAAGCTGTTATAGATTTATCATGATGAAGTAGCGAACGATTTGTTGCAACCTTAGTTCACCTGGGCTTGTTAAGATTGCTCTTCATTGTCTCAGGCTAAGACTTCACCCACAGTTTAAAGACTGTTCACACTGTCCCTGGGTGTATGTGAACCTGCTTTGCATTGATAACTGCTGCCAAATAGTTTTTGATAAATGGCATGAATTGTGATGGATATCAGTGTTCAACATCGACTGTGATCCTCAGCACACTTGCCGGACGAAAAGCTCTGTAATGACGTCTGTGTGGGTGCATACTGTTTAGAGGGAGCTGTGTTAATTGATTGACTGCGGAACCTTCCGCAGTCAACCATTGGTTTTGTATTTCTTTATTCCGTCATTTTTTTTGACACGTTTCACAGCTTTCACATTTCAACAATTTCCACAAGTTATACATCAAAACGTTCCACATGTTTGGGAGATTATTGCTATTACTTTTGGGACTTCAGCGATTTCGGGTTTTTCCGCAATCGGACAAAAATCTGCATTGAGAATTCTGCAATGCATTTTAATAGGCCCATGCATTTTAATAGGACTTCAGCTCTTTCAGACATTTCTACAGTTTCAATGATTCAACAGTTTCAAGGATTCAACAGTTTCAAGGATTTCAGCAGTTTCAAGATTTCAAGAGTTTCAAGGACTTCAACAGTTTCAAGGACTTCAGCAGTTTCAAGGACTTCAGCAGTTTCAAGGACTTCAGCAGTTTCAAGGACTTCAGTGTAATCATGCAACCTAATAGGGATTTTTCCATGTAAACCAGTATAATGCAACTTAATAGGGATTTTTCCATGTAAACCAGTATAATGCAACTTAATAGGGTTTTTTCATGTAAACCAGTATAATGCAACTTAATAGGGTTTTTTTTTCATGTAAACCAGTATAATGCAACTTAATGGGGATTTTTCCATGTAAACCAGTATAATGCAACTTAATAGGGGTTTTTACATGTAAACCAGTATAATGCAACTTAATAGGGTTTTTTCCATGTAAACCAGTATAATGCAACTTAATAGGGGTTTTTTCCATGTAAACCAGTACAATGCAACTTAATAGGGATTTTTCCATGTAAACCAGTATAATGCAACTTAATAGGGTTTTTTACATGTAAACCAGTATAATGCAACTTAATGGGGATTTTTCCATGTAAACCAGTATTATGCAACTTAATAGGGATTTTTCCATGTAAACCAGTATAATGCAACTTAATAGGGATTTTTCCTTGTAAACCAGTATAATGCAACTTAATAGGGTTTTTTTCATGTAAACCAGTATAATGCAACTTAATGGGGATTTTTCCATGTAAACCAGTATTATGCAACTTAATAGGGATTTTTCCATGTAAACCAGTATAATGCAACTTAATAGGGTTTTTACATGTAAACCAGTATAATGGAACTTAATAGGGGTTTTTACATGTAACCAGTATAATGGAACTTAATAGGGGTTTTTACATGTAAACCAGTATAATGCAACTTAATAAGGATTTTTACATGTAAACCACTATAATGTAACCTAATAGGGGTTTTTTACATGTAAACCAGTATAAAGCAACTTAATAGGGATTTGTACATGTAAACCAGTATAATGCAACCTAATAGGGATTTTTCCATGTAAACCAGTATAATGCAACTTAATAGAGATTTTTCCATGTAAACCAGTATAATGCAACTTAATAGGGATTTTTCCATGTAAACCAGTATAATGCAACCTAATAGGGATTTTTCATGTAAACCAGTATAATGCAACCTAATAGGGATTTTTCCATGTAAACCAGTATAATGCAACCTAATAGGTTGCATTATACCACCAGACCAAGACCCAAACGAAGACTCAGACCACCACCAGATAATGACCACAGACCAGGTTTCCTTAGTTACAGGAACCAAATTGTTTCAGCGGTGAGGGGATTTTTCAGTTTCAAGGACACTTTCAATACATTCAGTAGTTTCAAGGATTTCAACTGTTTAAGAATTTAACCAGTTTCAAGGATATCAGGAGGTTCAAGGATTTCAGGAGTTTCCACACTTTCAACAGTTTCCAGGTTTAAAAAAAGTTTCAAGGATTTCAGGAGTTTCAATGTTTCAACAGTTTCAAGGATTTCAGGAGTTTAAAGGTTTCAACAATTTCAAGGACTTCAGGAGTTTCAAATATCTATCAAGTATTTTAACAGTTTCAAGGCCTTTTAAAGGATTTCAAGGATTTCTTTTTGCAGATTTCCACATTAGATCTGTTCCGCAGTCAATCGCAATGGCTTCAGCCATTGCAAGTTTCTAGATAGTTACTAGTTACTTCTCCCAAAAATAACTGAGTCCTAACAGAGTTACTCCACTATAAAAGTAACTAGTTACCTTAAAAGTAACGATTGCGTTACTTTTTCGGACACAAAGTGTAAAGCCATTGATCGGTACAGGTGCTACACTGTGTGTAACTAAAACTTTACTAACCAGAACTTGAAAACATTATTTCTGTGCTTAACGACAGCATTGACTTTTTAGCTCAGTTGTGGAAAATCGGCCCCGATGTAAAAAGCCCCGGTGCTGAAAGTACCACTTCCTCCTAGTGTTACCTTGTGAATGAGATGTTGACTTTAAATGTCTTACTTTCTTGCCGACACAGAGATGATGATGATGACGATGGCCAGGACCACGGCGCCAATGACAATCAAGTAGCATTTCCTCTTCCTCTGCTGCCTCTGGACAGACATAAGACAATAATTAAAAGAGACATATGAATGCAGAAACAAACAGAGGTCTCCTTATGCAGCACTCATTGTTAAAGCTTGCAGCAATAGAATGTGTGGAAACGCACTTCAAAAACACAACACAATTCAACAATAATCAGAGCAATGAACAAAAAGCATTTCATATTCTGTCAATGACAATGGAAATGGAAGTGACGCGCAGAGTTAATGGCATGTCTGTTCTCTAACCAAAACACAAAAAACAGGAAGCATACAAGGTCGAGCTGACAACAGTCATAAAGCAGAGACAATTTTGGAAAAATTGTGAAAAATCATCCAGAGCTTGCCTTCACTTTGTACCACTTACAAGCAGTGACAATGTGGGTTGGAAAAAACAACCGACAGATTAGATCAATAGAGTAGACAAGAGAAAAACAACTATGAGGAAAAATGTGTCGTAGCCAGGTCAGTCAATACCAAAACAAAATGGTGGTCAAATTAGATCAGGCTTTACCGCAAGCTTTGATTTGAATTGTCAACAAAAAACCATGGGATAGAAAAATGTATGTGAATGACGTTAAGAAAAGGCAGGGACTTCACATCAGAGCGGCTGGGGAACCAAACTTTTTTATTATGATTTCAAAGTCAATTATTTTGAATCAGTGTTGGGCACGTTACTTTGAATACTTTGATATTATATAATATATATATATATATATATATATATATATATATATATATATAATCATATAAATCAACAGGACAATTTGTTTGGCTACAGCAGAATATGTGTCATGCCCGCATTGTTTGCTCATACAAAACGCAAAAGTATGAAAAAGGACATTTCAAAGTGTGTTATGGGTCTTACCTTAAACATAAACTGCACAGACCAGTTCAGTTCAGACCAGTTTCATGTTTAAGTCCAGATAATAGTTTGAGCGTAGATATGTAATTCTCCATTTAGAAATAAGTCCAATGAGTTTTAAAAAGTAAAACAAAACGGGTGTCTCCTCCACAAACTCCTCTCGTGTAGCTGCAGCCGACTCTCGGGTGCATCCCCAATTTCTAAAATCAACCTTCTTAGCCTTCACCTCTCTTTCTCATCATTCCTATCATCATTGGAACATTACCCTAAGTGCATTTTAAATTATCTTAAAATTGGTATATGTATGTTAGCCAAACCTGTAGCTGCCCTTAGCAGATGAAGAAAAAGAAAGGAGCTTTCTGATGGAATTGGATGCAGTCGAATTCTGGGCTCACAAGCGCCCCCTACCCTGAGGCTGGCCTCACTTGGTGACATTACAAGCCGTGGTTGAGCACGATTAAGACCCATATTTGTTTCAACCCATCCTCTCAGCTGTAGACATGTAGATTGTAGAGGAAATATGTTTTACATCAGCCAATAATTGCTGAGAGGTTATCTCATCCTCCCTTCTCTCATGACAACACACGAGTCCTATAATGGAGTTAAAAAAAGTTCATTGTGCGACTTGAGTAATGTACGGTAACGGGGTGTCCGCAATGATACCCGCGTTATAGTTTCAGTCAAAGTAATTAGTTAGATTACTCGTTACTGAAAAAAGTAACGGCGTATTCCCATCACTGTTTTTAAAGTTGTTGCTTGAAATGTCAACCTGACTTTTAGTTGTAGTTTCATAAATACATTTTGTATGTCCCAACAGAAAGTCTATCCATCCATCAATTTTTTTTCTGCTTCATCCGTTGCCAGGTCACAGGGGCAGCAGCCGAAGCAGAGACACCCAGACTTCCATCTCCACACACTCTTCCTCCAGCCTAAACAGGAGAATCCCGAGGCGTTCATAGTCCCTCCAGCATGTCCAGGGTCTTCCCTGGGGTCTCCCCCTGGGGGGACATACCCAAACCACCTCCCCAGGGAGGCGTCCAGGAGGCATCCGGAACATGCCCGAGCCCCCTCAACTGGTTCCTCTCGACGTGGAGAAGCAGCGGCTCTACTCCGAGCTCCTCCAGAGTGCCTGAGCTCTAAGGGAGCGCCCAGCCACTCTGCGGAGGAAGCTCATTTTGACCGCTTGTATCTGCGATCTCGTTCTTTCGGTCTTTACCCAACAGTAACAAAATTTGGTCACAATATCCCTTTCTTTATCTTATTAGAAATAAACAATTATTTTACATACTCACATGATGAGGGGAGGGCATACATGGATTTCACAATATAGTCATTTTTGATGGTTTCAACACTACAGTTTTAATGTCATATTTTTGTAGAATACAACTAAATTAAAAGTATTGAAAAATAACGACAGTTATAACGGAGGAACCCGTATGTCCTGTCTCTATAGCCCCCTATGATCACAATGTATTCATTCTTACATCCCCGCTCTGAACCAAAATTTACTACACATGCAGTTTATAGCATCAAATTATTTTAAACAAAAAAATCAGAAGACTAATTGTTAAAAGTCATTTGTTGCAAGTGAATTACTGCTGCAGGCGCTAAAGTTGAGGGGTTAGTTATTGCTCCGGGCAAAGGAATCGTAGTCTCCCTTATGGTTTGGTGAAGGTGCTAATTGGATGAACTCTTTTCTAATTAACTTTCGTAAGATCTCATATTGGTCTTCACTTCAATATCTCATTTCATTCTCAAATAGAGAAAGAGCAAAATTGATTTCACCCTCTCACAATTAGTAACTATACATTTGCTAGAGATCTTTTTCAGTTTCTAATTGACATACATTTGCTGATGCTTTTTTTGAGAAATGTTGCGTTTGACTCTATCTCCATTAGATTCTGGCACCAGAGGAGTTGTGTCTATTATTATTATTACTATTGTTAGCTTTTTAGAATGATCTATTTATTTGTTTTGTTTGTGTGGATGGATGTGTTTTTAGGACCACTGGTCGTGGTGGAGGGCTGGCTGTCATACATCACAGGGACTTACCTGTAACCCCCCTCCCACTTCCAGAGCTTACAACATTTGAAGCCCTTCTTTTCAAATGCAGACCACAAAATAAATCAATTTTAACGCTCCTCATCTACCGCCCTCCAAAACTCAACTCCGGCTTTATCACTGAATTGCGAGATCTACTCACTTCCCTCTGTGCTACTTCCCATAATACACTCATTCTGGGAGATTTCAACATCCACATTAAATCTACAAAAAATCGTCTTGCTGCAGAATTTCTCGAACTCTTGGACTATTTACATCTATCACAACATGTCTCAGAACCCACCCACACAAAAGGCCATATTCTTGACCTTGTTATAACAGACAACGTCCCCATCTCCAACCTGCAAGTTTATGATTTGGGGGTGTCCGACCACAAATTAATTTCCATGGTACTGCCCTTAGCCGAAACACAAATTAAAACAAAGCGCCAAATCAGTTTCAGAAATTTAAAGGCAATTGACTCCACCCGCATTAACCAGGACATTCATAAAATCTCTCTAGTCACACAATTCACTTCTGTAAATGAAACTGTCACTCATTACAACTCCAGCCTCCGCATTATCCTTGATTCTCATGCACCAGTTAAAACCAGAACAGTCACATTTTCCAGAACAGCCCCATGGTACACACCTGAACTCCACAATATGAAGACAGCTGGCCGAGCCCTCGAGCGGCGCTACACCTCCACTGGCTTACTAGTCCACAAACAGGCATACCGTGAACACCAAAAAACATATACCAGAGCACTCACCACTGCAAGATCCTGCTATTTTTCACAAAAAATCTCAGATAGCACTGGCAATTCAAAACGATTATTTTCTGAAATAAACACTCTGGTCAAACCTCACACACACACACTGTCTGACACCAGTACGGACCATTGCAATAGGTTCATGGACTACTTCACCAACAAGGTAATGTCAATCCGGTCTGCCCTTCCTTCCACTACCCCATTTCCAACTGACATAATCTTTCCTAAGCCGCCCAACACCTTTACCTCCTTCTTGGATATCTCCCAGTCTGAAGTGGAGAGGATCATAAGCAGCATGAAGCCCTCCACCTGTCTGCTGGATCCTCTCCCCACAACACTTCTCAAATCAAACTTTTCCGCCATTAGCCCATTAATAACAGAAATCATTAACCAGTCACTAAAATCTGGTCAGGTCCCCCCAGCTCTCAAAAATGCAGTAATCCGCCCTCACCTGAAAAAACCTTCACTTGACCCCAACATCCTAGCCCACTACAGACCAGTCTCAAACCTCCCATTCCTCTCCAAAGTCCTCGAAAAAGCAGTAGCAGCCCAACTCCACAATCACTTACGCTCCCATAACCTATATGAGAAATTTCAATCTGGTTTCCGCTCAGCCCACAGTACAGAGACAGCCTTGGTCCGCGTCATGAATGACCTACTCATGACTGCGGACCGGGGCTCACCCTCTCTCCTCCTCCTCCTCGATCTGTCAGCAGCTTTTGATACCGTGGACCACACCATTCTCCTCCATAGACTACAATCAGTAATTGGACTTTCACAGACAACACTCAAATGGTTTCATTCATATCTCACTGACAGAACAGAATATGTGTCCCTAGGCCAGTACAAATCGTCAACCCATTCAGTTACCTGTGGGGTACCGCAAGGCTCAGTCCTCGGGCCAACCCTTTTTACAATATACATGCTCCCCCTTGGTCAAATCATAAACAGACACAACATTTCTTTCCACTGCTACGCCGATGATACACAGTTATACCTGAAAATGGACTCCACTTCACCCACAGGTTTTACGTCAGCCCTTCAGCTTTGTCTGGAGGAGATAAAGGCATGGATGGACAACAATTCTCTTCAACTTAACAGTGGTAAAACTGATGCAATCCTCTTTGGCACCCCCCACCAAACCCAGTCCTCCCCTCTCAGTAGTGTTTCAATTTTTGGCCATAACATCCCCCTGTCCACATCTGTTAATAACCTTGGAGTCAGGCTCGACTCTAATTTTACATTTGATACCCACATCCGCCACCTCTGTAAAGTCTCCTTCCTTCACCTCAAAAACATTGCCAGACTCCGCTCCTCCCTCTCACAACCGGACGC